CATCTCCCTGCATCTCAGCAGTGGTCCCACTGTTGTTTGTGGAGCTGTGGTGTAAACTGAACTAGAGAAACTGCCTCTTCAAAATACGAGGCATGGGGTTTCTTTGTTGTTTGGTTTTTTTTTTGTAAATCGAGTCGTATCACTGATCTGACTTTATGGAGAGCTGTACAAGCAATAAGATGAGCGGGCTGAGGAGGATCAAGATGGTGGTAGGCAGAGTCCCCATCCATCAGGCTTGGTGCTGGGGAAACGGTGAAGTTTCACGCTTCATGGCAGCAGCAGATGACAGCATCCTTTGACTGTCATCCTCCTTATGTTTTTTAACTCTTTGGAGCTGCTCAGGGCCAGAGAGTCAGATAAAGTTATAATTTCTTTTTCCTTGTCTCAGAAAAGCAGGAGTAGCTCATAAGTGTAGCAATGGGAACACTGAACCTCCTGATCGAGGTGCTGGTAAAGGCCATCGCAATATGTTGGCTGCCTGTCTGAGGGAAAAGGAGAGCTCTGCTTTGGATTTGCAGCTTTTGTTCCCTTCTCATGCTTAAGTACTTCTTAAATTATTGCTAGAAGAGCTTTGGAAATTCTGTTGCCATGGTAGGGCTTAAATGTAACCCCAGTGAGACCCTGGTAGAGAGTGAACCGAACTGCTCGGTGACTCTGGGTGATCTCTCTCACAAACAGCTGCTCCAAAGCAAAAGGCCAGTTCAGGATGAGTAAATACGCCTTTGTTTGACCTTTCTGGCCCTTCCCTTGTGCTGTGCATCACTTGCAGAACTGCAGAGCTGAAGCTGAAAAAGTCTTGCAGGCTGCTGAGCACACGGCTGGCTTTTGGCCACGAGTATCCCCATCCGCGGCAGGTGTCCCAGCTTCCTGGGAATTGATTAGACGGCTGGCTCGTTGATGGAGAGCTGGTCAGCCCAGCAACTGCGGTCGTACTCAGCTCCTGAGTCAGTCACCATTAACTGTAATGAGATCTAGACCCCCAGCTCACATTAAGCAATCATAATTGCTCACATTGGCAATCCCATGCACAGGTACAGGCTGGGCGGAGAATGGATTGAGAGCAGCCCTGAGGAGAAGGACTTGAGGGTGCTGGTTGATGAGAAGCTCACCATGAGCCGGCAACATGCGCTGGCAGCCCAGAAAGCCAACCATATCCTGGGCTGCATCAAAAGGAGTGGCCAGCAGGTCGTGCGCCTCTGCTCTGCTCTCGTGAGCCCCCACCTGCAGTACTGTGTTCAGCTCTGGAGTCCCCAGCACAAGAAGGACATGGAGCTGCTGGAGCACGTCCAGAGGAGGGCCATGAAGATAATCCGAGGGCTGGAGCACTTCTGCTATGGAGACAGGCTGAGAGAGTTGGGGCTGTTCAGCCTGGAGAAGAGAAGGCTCCGGGGTGATCTTATAGCAGCCTTCCAGTACTTAAAGGGGGCCTACAAGAAAGCTGGAGAGGGGCTTTTTACAAGGATGTGTAGTAATAGGACAGGGGGCAATGGATTTAAACTGAAAGAGGGGAGATTTAGATTAGATCTAAGGAAGAAATTTTTTACATTGAGGGTGGTGAGGCAACAGGTTGCCCAGAGAAGCTGTGGCTGCTCCATCCCTGGAAGTGTTCAAGACCAGGTTGATGAGGCTTTGAGCAACCTGATCTAGTGGAAGATGTCCCTGCCTATGGCAGGGGGGTTGGGACTAGATGATCTTTGAGGTCCCTTCCAACCCAAACCATTCCATGATTCTGTAATTCAATTCTATGATTCTATGCTGAACATAGGACACCTGCTGAGGTGTTCTTCCCCTTCAGCAAATCTCCTGCCTCCGTGCCTTACTTTAGGCATTTCACCATCACCGTTGCTGTGATGCAGCGTTCCTGTGTTCTGCTTATGTCCGTGCCTTAGTGCTCTTCTCTGTTGCCAACGTGGTGCCGTTTTCCTGCTGTGACAGTGAGAAAAGGTACTGCCCTGGTCCCGTCTGCTCTGTGATCTGCACCCTGGATCAGGTCATTTTGTGTGGCAGCACTGTATTTCTGCCCGTGGCAGGTGCAGGAGAGATTGAAACTGCTGAATTAGTGATGGGAGAGTTGTCTTCCCGTGACCACATTCTTGAGCTGACAAATGCTCCTGAATAACTGTGCTGCGGCCAGAGTGTGCTCTATTGCGGTGTGGAAAAGCTCATTTCTGTGTTATAAACTACATCTAAGCCTTGGAAGGTTTGAGTTTGTAAGCTAGACTTAAGCCACTTCAGTTACTTGACCTTTTCTGATACTATTTTTATTGTGAAGAAAAATATCCTTTGCTTGATTGTTTCACTGGAAAGGCAACACTGATTTTAATAACATTTTCTGTAACAAATTTTGCTCTTTCTGCTCTGCACCTCAGCAGTTGTAGTGAAATACAGAACTTGGCCCATTAACTTCAAAAGAAGTTGTGGTTCAAGCAAACTTTAGGACTAGATTGACAGCATTTGTTGGCGTGCTTTCTGACAATTTGTGCTTGTCAACTGGCAGGTGAGGCAGTTTTACCATTTCAGGAGGCAGTGCCTGTGGCCTTCTGAAAACTGGTGTGTCGTATTAGTGTAGCTTCTTCTCAGTTTATATCTATAAAGGTTTTTTTTAGTGTATGTGCTAATGGAAGTGAGAAATTACTGTTTGACAGAAAGAAGTACAGTATGAAAAAGGAACAACAAGAAAGAAAGTCTCTGTGCAGCCTTCCTTTTTGACTCTGTTACAACCTGCAGAACTTCATGTGGGTTTCATGTTTATCTCTTCATTACTGCCAGTTTCTGCTACAAGTATATGTTACTTTTACAAACCTAACCACTATCCAGCCCTGCCTAACGGGCTTTAAGAGCCTGAGGCTTTGGCTGTATGAATTGTTTCTGCAAACCTCATCCTTGCAGCGAGCCAGCTGCTCTGAACCCCAGCGAAACAGTGGCTGCGTGGGCAGTCACGGAGTAGCTCTTGTAATACCCCTTCATACAGTTCACCTTGCAGAAGCTTGTTCACCTGTCCACACTCCTCCTTTTCTTTTAGTCAAGAGAAGTTGAGCTAGACAAACTTCCAGTCTTCATTTTCCATGCCAGAGAAGGTCACCAAGGGTGAGAGGAAGCAGCAAAACACAAGCTCTGGAAATGCTGAAGCATGGTTGTACAGGGTCTGACAAAGATTTTGTTTAGGGAGCTGGGGCTTGCCAGTGGAATGCATTGGCCTTTTTGAAAATGTCCATCTGTCACTCAAGTAGTGTTGATGAAAAGTAAAATGCGATGTGCCTCACTGAAGGAAGCTCTGTGTGTGTGTCTGCAAGTTTCAGATACAATTGTAAGACCCCAGTTTGCAACACTTAGTCTTGAATTCTTTCTAGATGTTTCTTCCATAATATTATCTGTCTGTAGCAGTCCATGTGCTTCTCTATGATTCTATGTAGATAATACTGCAAATAACGAGAAAATACTGTTGTGATTCATTTGTCATTTGAAACACCTCTATGCTTACAAAATTTTAGTCATGGTAAAGTCTTTAGAAAGGCATCTAGGCCCTGGGAAGCAATAATTTTCACTTCATATCTTTGCTCTGATGTTTGGTTGCTGATTGCATTTTCACTATCATACAAAATATGCCTTTATTCGATGTAAAATACGTCTGAGTTTTTATTAGCGCAGTAATTTTACTCATTCATTAGGCCCGGCTTTTTTAATGACAGGTGAGTAAGCTAATGTACATTGCCTCCATTTTCATCCTTAGTAAAGATATGCAAAGAAATGCTTTCCTTGGATTGCAATTTTTGTTCTTCCCTTTTTTTTTAACCATTTTGCAAGTCTTGTAGCCAACATGTGTAGTTCAGTTTTTGCTGTAGTGAAGCAGTTGCACTATACAGTTTCTAACCTGAACTGATGATGATGTGTAGTCGTGCTATCCCAGCACAAGCTGCAAGAAACACTGCTAGCGACATCAGAGTTCCCGATTTTCCTAGGGGAACCTTGCAACTTGATTTAGGATTGGCCCTTCAATAAGGACAACCATTCTAAATAAGCACGAGAGCTTCCGTTGTGCTCATCTGTTTTATTCAAGCACCAAAAGAAACTTTCCTGTTGCTTGTGTCTGGGCGTTGCAGTTGTACTCAAGTATGATATTTTAATAGTGCCAAGCTGTTTGCAAGCGTACCTCAGAGACAAGGACAGTGAAAATACTCTGCAGGAGATTTTGAGGTTTTGAAAAGTACTTTGTATGACTGTTACATACAGATTGAGGGCCAAAACTTGATCAAATGGACACACCTACAAAAAAACTTCAGTATTTTGCTCCTATGCATGCTATAGCCCTGCCACCAGACCAGGTCCAGTGTAGGTCACAGTGGTGCAGACAGGGATTTATGGTTGGAGTCTATGAAGCAGCTAAAGTGAGCAAAGAGTATATGCATTCTTCGCATGTTTTCAGATTCAGTTTTCTCCCTGCCCATGGATATTGCGAGCTACTACATATGTCCTTTCTGGCAGCTAGGGTGTCAAGGATGAGCTTTCCCTTATGGTGACGAGGTGGTGAGGTCTTGCAGGTACAGTCCTTCTTGGATCCTGGGAAGGATGGTTTGCCCACTGCCAGGTGTCTTTTGGAGGCATCAGCTACTGTTTGTGACTGAGGATCTCACAGTTTGGTTTTCTCTCCGATTGAATGATCCTGTCCATCTCTGACATTAGGGTGCTGGAGTATGCATCACCAGAAATGTTAGTGGGGAAGTAATGTTATGGACTCTGCTCCTGAAGCGGATGCTGACAGTAGACTTGTTGCTATAGATCATCTTACTCAGGGTTTTGTTGAGCATCCCATAAGCTGATCTATGAAATTCTGGCAGGTGTCACAGCTATGCTACCTATAGTCATGTGCTGGTCGAGAGGAAGGGTTGAAAATCTGGTCCGTTGTGATTGACTGCTATTATGTCTGGCAGATGTTACTTGTTCCATTAAAAAGAAAGTGTTTTTTTTGTTTTTGTTTTGTTTTGTTTTTCCCTCCTTCTTAGGTGGAACGTATTGGGTATTCAAGGAGCCTTACTTAGCCTCTTTGTGGAGCCAATTTACTTCTCTAGCATCATCTTGGGGAGTTTATATCATGGGGATCATCTATCCAGAGCCGTATACCAGAGGATAGCAGAGATAGAAGATCTACCACCTCTTTATACACTCAACAGACCTTTACTTAGTGGCAAGTATCTAATGGAGAAGGCCGTGCCGGTAAATAAGTCCGTTCCAGTAGCAACGTGATTTTGCAGTTCTCAAAAGCTTGCAAATTATGTACTGTGAGTAAACTGCTTTCTGGTTACAACAGAGAAGTTATGGTCTAAACCTAATGTAGATACTCAGTCAGAAATACCATAGCAAGGACCGTTTGTGAATTAAAAGGTGGAGAGAACCAGGGCATGAACCTTTGGATGCCATTTCACATCATTGCTGTCTGGAGCGTGCCCTGGCAATGTGTGAGGCAAGTTGTAGTGAAACCTCTTCCCACCCATGGCATAGTGTTAGCTCTCACTGTCACTTCTCTTGCCATTGCAGATATTTGTTGAACGGCCGTGTCATTAATCAGTATGCCAAGACAGACACATTTGGTTCACCATTTCTAGATCAATACCCAACTAAAAATGGATGGAGAGAACATCTCGGCTGCCATTGATTGTATTTTGGTTTTGGTATCAATCTCTGTTGGATGCTGCATTGGCTCTAATTAGCATGGCACCCAACTTGTTTGCGTGACCCAATAATCACAGTGTTTTAATTTCCACTTTGTATTTTAATGCACAAATGCTGCATTCAAAACCTGGTGGCATGTTCTTTGGGAATATTTTTAATAGAGCATTAAATATATCTGACAGACAGCAATATGGCAAATCCCAGCTGGTGTAGTTAGCAGTTGTATTTTGCAGCTGCTGTTGAACATTTAAGTACTGTTCTTTGGCTTTGCGCTGATCCTAGGCTCTAGTGGGGCTAAGAGGAATGGCAGTATTTCAATTAACAGGTCGTAACTTCTAATTGAGCCGTGAAGTTCTGAAGTGTCTCAGAATCTAAAACTGCTAGTTACAGTAATGCTGGGAATGCTTTAAAACTGAAATCTCTTACCCTCCCTCTCATTGTGTGCATTGCTTTGTTCTGAAGAGCTTGGTTTTTGGCATGTGTCTGTTTATTTTCCAGGAATAGAAAAGCTCAGTATTTTAAAGCATGTTTAAAGTTTGACATGAACTTTTAAAATAGATTTAGAGAGTGAGTGGGGAAAAGAGACTATTGAACAGTTAGCATTTCTTTAAATAAGAAAGGTAATTAATAAGGATTAGTTAGGACATATTAAAACGTTAACTAACATATTTGTCCTTATAGTAGCATGTAAGTAACAGTTACAACACTCACAGTACCAAATATTAAATTGTTGTACAGGCATAGTAGCTGATGTATGGACTGTTTCTGCCTGATTTGGGGGAAGTTTTGTCAGTTCTTCAAGACAGCAGGTTTGGGGTGGGGTGGGAGGAATTTTTGTTATCCTTTTCACAACAGGTAATAAATAGTACCTTGTCGATCTTTTTGCAGTGTTTATATCTATTTGCCATGAAATAGCACCATCTGTTTAAACAGTTCAGCGGGGACTCGCTGAGCAGTACAGAGAGTTCAGAAACGTTCTCAGCTCTTGAGTTTTCATGAAAATACACATCTCAAAAATGTACGGGAAACTTGTTTGGGAGATTGGGCAGAGAATTGTGTTCATTGATTTTTCTTCTACTGGTTCAGTCTTGAAAGCTAGTCTTCTGACTCACGCTGTTGGATTCAGCTGGGGCATTTGTGTAGCTGCTCATCTGCTCTTTGATTCACCCAGTTTATGGTGTATTCTTATCTGGAGTAAGCACCGCAGAAATACCTGTCCCCAATTCTATGTTCCTCCCGATATCACACACACAACTGTGCGACCATGACTCATTTCTACCAGAGGGATGAGCTAAAAGAGAAAGAGCTGTCTTTCCCCACTGTCTCACCTGTTTAGCTGAGAAAGTACTGTAAAAACTGTTCTTTTTCCCCTCATAAAACAAGTTTTGTATTTGCAAGGACAATTGCATTAAGTCGAAGTCAGACTGAGTTATTGTTATCTACTGCTAAAAATTGTCTTTTCATCATCTTTCTTTCCTCATAGGAGATTTTCTACTTATACCTCCTTTTGCCAGCAAGTTGAACGTGTACATGTGTATCAAAGTAGCTGGTTTTCAGCTGGGGGATGCAGGAAACCCGTGTGTTGGTAGAAAACTCCCTCCCCGTGCTGACTCTTGGAAGCCTTTTGGTTGCAGGACCCAGCCTTTCAGGACGCCTTTAGCACCACAGCACTGGGGGCATGTGAGCTCTCTGATAATTGTCCAGTTCACTTCAAGAGAAGATGGGTTCAAATCTTGTGAATTTCTAGAATAATCTGAAAAGGAGTCAATTTCTCAATCAAATAGAACAAGGATGATTGTATAAATGAGCCAATAACAAAGTGCCATCTTGCGAGAGGTCATCTGCACTGTCTCTTTTTGGAACCGTTGTGGGAGGTGGGCACGAAAGAGTTCAGCTGGGATGAAAGTAGGGTGGCAGAGCTCAGCAGATACTCCATTCAGAGAATCAGCCCTTGAAAGTCCTCGAGAGCAGAAGTCATTAAATATAAGAGAGTCCGTTACGCATAAAAGACAAGTTCTTCTTCACTGGAGGCAACTAGTGTGAGCCACATTTCATCAGGCATCTGTCCTTATGGTTCCTGTTGCTGGTAGGTGTTCTGAGATGCCCGAGGACCTGGACTAATGGCATCTGCTGGGACTATGACCACAAGCAGAGGCAAGCTGGGCCCCGACGTGCTCTCCTAGCCACAGCAGCTACTCAACCGAACCCCGCAGTGGTGTCTGCTTTTGTGGACAAGGCCTTTTTCTTAGCTGTGATTGATTATAATATTAAACAGGCAAAGTTTTCCCTGTTTTGATGTCCAGTCAGTTGATAATTTCTTCTGCTTTAAGTTTCTCTAGAGCTTTCTGTTATCTTGTCACCAGCATAAGAACTGTCTTAAGTAAGATCAAGATCCATCCAGCCAAGTACTCTATTCCGTAGGCAGTGAGGCGGTGAAAAGCAAAAGGAAATAGCAAGCCTCTGTAGATACCTCCTGAGAACTGCAGCAGTAATCTGTGGATCAGGGATATCCAGAGTCAGGTACTGAGAGTCTTTGTGTTTACAAATCCTTAATGGATTTTTTCATTTGTGAACTCCCGTTTTCGTTTTTTGAACTGGCTTAAACTTTTTACTGCCCACAGCCTCCTTTAGAAGGAGGGCTGTAGGACATGTAAAGATTTGTGCAGTGGAATTTCCTTTCTGCTAGTTTAATTAGATACTCCTCAGCTCTCTGTATGATGCAGGCTATAAGCAGTTGTCGTGGCTCAGTTTTTGATCTCTTTTCAATTTTCGTACGTAAGTCCGATTTTTTGCCAGCTGAAAAGTCTTAGTCTGCTTTGTTATTCCTTTCATGGAGATTCTGCCACATAAGGATCATCCTTTCCATTTCACAATTGTGTTTTGAGCTAGCGAGACCAGAGCAGCACCTGATACTCAAGATTAAGACAGCAATACTGATTTCTGTGGTGACATCATGATATTCCATTCAGTTCTATGACCCTTCAGTAAAAATTCCAAACATGCACTTCGCTTCTTTTGATTATTGTTGATCGTTGACCTGACCTTTCAATAGAACTGAATATTAGAAACTAAAATCTCTTTCGTGAATGCCAATATCCAGCTCCAAGTCCAGCGCTCCTTATGCAAAATTGCTTTGTGTTTTCCTCATCTGTATTACCTAATATTTATCTGTGAGGAATTTCGTCTGCCTTTTTATTGCCCAGTCACCGAATGTTGTCTTCACTTTCACTTTTTGAAATTGCTTCTCTTATTTACCTTCTTAAATAATTTAGTGTCATCAACAATCTTATTCACCTCGTTTTTTTTCCCACACGCACACTTCCCAGGTCTGCGCAGAGCTTGGGACTCCTCTGCTGTGTTGGCTCTTCCCAAGGAGGTTGTTTTCATCCAGATTTCCATAAAGTCTGTTTTTAAGGTAGACATAGAGCAGACAGGCCTTCTGCTCCCTGGCCACCTCCAGGCCTCAGTTACTAAAGCAGTGTTTTGTGAAGTCATTCCCGATATTTCTGTATTTACATCTGTGCCCAGTAGTGCGGTATCGTAGTTCCCTCAGCATTCCTGGTGCCCATGTCATGTTTATTGACTGGTAGTTCCCTGGCACACCTCTAAACTCCTTCAAAATCAGGGTCGTGTTGGCCACCTTTCATCCTGGAGAACTCGTGTGGTTTCTGATGAGGAGTTATGTACCACGACTGCTCTTTCTGTTGTCTCATCTTTAGTTTCCTTGAAGGTGGTTGGATATTGTCTGGACACTGTAGCTGGTGTTTGCTTGCTTCATGCATGTATCTTAGAACTATTTTTACAAGCACCTCAATTTGAGATGGCTCCTCTGGCATGTTGCCTGCGAAGAGGGCTCCAGCCTGGGAACCCACCCCCACTTTTTGCAAAACATTCGTTCATTTTTTGTACACAAGAAGACTTCAGCCACCACAGCAAGAGTGGTTATTGTGAATGTTCATGCCTCAGCACTCCTCTGAATGCTGTCTGCATTTGTTCTTTGGGGTTTTTTTTGGGTTTTGTTAGTTCTTTTACACAAAATTTGTTTCCTTGGTACCTTATCCTCCCATTTACATTGGTGTTTTCCAGCTCTCTATCTCCTTTTTAATGAAGCTTTAGTGAAGTCCTCAAAGAAGTGTCAAGCTTTATTATTTATATAAGCAGTGGCACAAAGAGCGGTGACCTTTGCTTTTGCTTATTATACCCCATTATAATAATAATCAACAATAAGTTCCGATTGATGTTCTCTACCTTTTGCTTATTATACCCCATTATAATAATAAACAATAAGTTCCGATTGATGTTCTCTATGTAGCTTAGTTATATCAGTTTTCAAAGGAGAATAAAATATTCTACTTTCTATCCTAGCTTTCTCTCCCGTTATTAGTTTCAGCTTCTTGTGCTATGGAATGTCTATATTTTGAGGGAGAAGATATGATCCACCTAAAGTGCTATCAGATGCTTTGCTTTTGAGATGACCTTTCTTCTCTCTCCATGCTGCCCATGATCCATCTTGAGGGACTCCTTTGCCATCTCTCCAGGGTTCATGCAGATAATTAAGCAGCTGAAGAGGGTGTTGTTATTTAACTCTATTTGAAATTGTGAGTGATTTTTTTTTTGGTTTTCATTTATTTAATTTATAAAAATAACCTAAGGAATGCAGTTGTGTAATTGCTATGGAAATGTAGTGCATACTGGATGTTCAGCTTCCTTGTCTTTATTTGACTTGCTTGTGTGGGTGCTTGTGATGTCACAGGTGTTTGAGTAGCTGATAGGGCAGGAGCAGTTTTGGTGTTTTGCACTACTCAATGAACTATATCTGATTGCTGTATTTGTTCAGTAGTGTGTGGAACAAAAGCATAGGTAATAGTGTAGATATCATTAAATTAAAGAAAAAATATGACTGACCCGCTTGTCATGTGGTGACAATTTTTTAGCCCTCTTGCCTCAGTAGTTTTAGTAAAACCAATTTTCAATTGAGAGGTTTGTCAGCATGGGTCTGTTTCATATAAGCTTCACAAAAGCAGCCTGAATTTATGTGCTTTTGGAGACTCAGAGTTGAGGTTCATTTTACTTGCCCCCAAAATTTACAATTTATTAGGTGTTAGGTGCAAGCCTTGTGTCGTGTGACTCCTGGAGCGGCCGTGTTTGCTCTGTAGGATTTGGACTTTAGTGGCACAGGACATGCACAGGTGTTGTGCATGGTCAGCTCCAGTTTTCACATGTTCATTGCCAGCCGCTCAGCAGGGCTGCAGAAGTTGTGATGAGGACTTTTCGACTCTCGTCTTGTCATAAAGACATGTTCTTGCTGAGTCTTCCTCAAGTGTTGCTTGCAGGATATTCTTGATGGTACCTGCTCAGCAGGGATTGCTGTCCACCCTCCAAGATTGATCAGTGTGTGGATCCCACATCCCTGCTCACTGATTTACAGATTGGTGGGTGTAGATCTGTGGCATCCTGCAGATGATGTAGGTACCTCTGCTGTGTTTCAGCTCCTGGATGCATCTCTCCTAAAAGAAATCTCCTAAAAGAGCTCTTCAGGAAACTTAGGTTATGATTCTCAATTTTTTCAGCTTTTTTTCAATTTTTTCCGCTTTTTTTTCAATTTTTTCCATTTTTTTTTTGCTCTGATTTTCAATTTTTTCTCAATTTTAAGAAAATGGGGAATAGTAGGGTTATTTTTATTATTAACTTATTCATTTAGTTACTGGTTGTCAGTCATAGTGACCAGGTTGACGTACACCAACTCTAAAAATATAACAGCTGCAGGAAGTTCAATATGATGGATATTTCAAAATGTTCGTTAATCTATTAAATGAGGAATTGATTATAGTAAACAAACGGAATTTTGCTGTGTTGTTCAGGCCTCACAGGTCTCTCAAGCTCTCAAACGCTGGGCCCAGAGGTGCTGCAGGCCTTGGGCCAAGTAAGCCAGTCCTGCACTCAGGTGCCTGAGCTTAACTTTTGCTTAACTTTGTTTATTAGATTGTATTTCACATACCAGCAAGAAATGCATCCTGCTGCAATGCTTATTTTGATTTATACAAATTCACTGGATTTTTATGAAGTGTAGGACCTCAGAGTAGATTTGAAGTAGGCTCTTAGCAAGAGTTGCGTTAATTAGAGATCCCATTTTTACTTTGTTACAAATTAAAACAAATCTCCTGTTCTTTTGTTCTCTCCTGGTGAGACAACTGAGGCATCTTAAAGGTAGAGTTTTGCCACCCCTGTAATGTCTGCAGGATCAAAAGCAATGTACTCCTCAGCTATTCCGTAGCACACACAACCCAAACTCGTGCCCTGCCTGCTGCTTGCGAGTGCCAGGCGCTGTCCTGCTGCACGTGTGGGAGAGGAGTTGCACGTGGATAGCAGCACCTGCCATGATCTTCAAGCATGGTGCTGTGGTCATGTTACACAGTCCACCTCTGCAGCATTGGGGTGCTGTGGGGGGATAATGCTGCCCTGGGCAGACAGCTGGCCTCCCTTCACACTTGGATTAGACTTAAGGTGGCTTTGCTTCCCCATCAGTAGAGTTGGAGCCATATTTCAGAGGTGTCACACAATTTAACATCTGAGCAAAATGATCTGCATCCTCTTTTGAGTCCCGTGGTTCGCCGTTTCTGGGCACTGTAAGCGGTGATGGGCATGTAAAGGGAGGAGGCAGCTGAAGCACGGCTGGATTTATGCTGAAAGACTCAAACGTCTGCCAGTTTTGGCTTCCTGCAGAGGATACGCTCACTTTGTCTAACTTGGATGCCCACAGCATCAGTGCCACTGCCTGTGCTAGCCATGCCATGCCCCAGCAGAGTTCGTGAGAAGGAGAAATAGATCGGTAGCTTTTATCAAAAAGCTCTCGACAGCTCCTGAAATGTAGGTGCTTTCATGCCTTGGTTTGCAAGGCATCCTGCTGTCTCATACCACTGCTCTGACCTAACTCCATTTTTCTAAGGGAAAGGGAAAAGCACATTGTAGGCACTTCTAAATAAGTACGACCTCTCTGAATAAGGTTGCAGTCCAAAGCTGTTTGCTGAATTGTAGCTCTATATTGAAACATGACCAGTGTTCATAGTTTCACAGTAGTTTTGAAATGAGATGAGCAGCATGCACCTAAATTTTTACAACAGCAGAGTGAAAGGGAATTGATTGGAGTGTTACAACTGTCAAAACCTCACAGTATCTGCTCTTTCCTGCACTCACCGAGTCTCACAACTGAGTGTGCTTTGAGAGCAGAAGTTTCTTGTGCAGAAGCAGAACAACTATTTTTCTGCTTCATAATTATTTGTAGGGTAATAATTAGTTCATTGTTTTGCTGTATAAGCAAGACCAGATCTTGCTGAGATGGATGTGGCAAGGCTCTCATGTTACTGTCCCCTTGGACCCTCGCCTTGGACCTCTCCGCCATCCCCTCTGCTGAGGAGGCTGATTTCTCATGCCTGCCCTGCTAGGAAGCACAGGAGAGAGCTCTTTAGCCAGGATGAGAATGAGATGCATTCTCTCTGCAGGAGAATGCCCTTGGAATAAAAGATCTGCTTGTAAGACTGCTTAGCAATATGATTTCAGTAGCTCTGCTGCATTGCTTACTCCTCAGTAAAAAAAAAAAAAACAAAAATCGAGTTATTATTTACTGTTGTCATTAAACATTGCTTTTCTTTCAGGTATTAGCAACGCAGAAGCCCGTCAACCAGGGAAAGCACCAAACTTCAGTGTGAACTGGACTGTAGGAGACACTGGTCTTGAAGTTATTAATGCTACAACTGGCAAAGATGAAATGGGTCGTGCATCTCGCCTTTGTAAGCATGCTTTTTACAGCCGCTGGATGCGTATTCATGCAAAGGTATATCTTCTAGAGTGCTAGATTTTCCACTTCTTCCTAATTCTTAGTGAAATATCTGTGCATGCTACCTTCTGTATTCAGAAGCCACTTTCTGAGCCTGATTTTAGCTACTGCTGCATGTAATAATGGAAAAGAACAACGCATTCGTGTAGCTGCTTCTTGAATTTGATAATGTCTGGTCCAAAATGCATGCAAGGATCTAGTAATCCTTGCTTTACAGCTAAGTAAACAAAGGGTGCTATCTCCTTTGGGCTTGCCTTCTCATTTTAATTTATTTGGAAGGATAATCCCTGTTTCACTGCAGTTGAACCTACTGAGAGTTTGCTCTGATCTTTCTTAGAATGAAAAGTTACAAGAAAGCAGCTTTTCAGTGTCTAAATGTCTTCCACCAAAGGAGGCTGACAATCCAGAGAAAGCAAAAGGCAGGCCAGCAGGGGTAGGGCTAGTCCCAAAAGTGCCTCTGCCAGGACGTGGCATGGTGCTCCAGGAAGGCTCGTTTTGTAGGAGGCAGATGGTGCGGCTCGGTGCGGTGACGCTGGGTACAGAGCCACGATGGCAAGAAGGAGCAGTACTGTGTACTCACCTGCCTTTGCCTGAATGTTTGGCTTAGTAATTTTACTCTTTTCCATGGAAGAAAACTGCATGTTTCAGCATACTTAAATTAATATCATGAAAACTTTGAAGTGCATGGCTTGTCATAGGTCTGCAGAGTTGGTAGGTGACAAGAACAGGAGAAGATGAAGAAATGTGTTCAAGGCCAGGTTGGATGAGGCTTTGAGCAACCTGGTGTAGTGGAGGGTGTCCCTGCCCATGGCAGGGGAGTTGGAACTAGATGATCTTTGAGGTCCCTTCCAACCCGAACCATTCTGTGATTCTGTGATTACCTTGTTTTAATAATAGCTGTTTTAATAACTTAGTCACTCTCAAACTGTTTGGCTTAATAGTTTCTTGTCTCTCTTCTTTTCTCGTCCTTAATCCACACAGCTTTCCTCCAGCTTGCGCTCAAAGATCCTCAAGCCTAACCTGTACCACGAAACCAAGCAAGGAGCCACTCAGTATCAAACTGCCAAAGAGTGTTTGTTTAAAGCATTCCTGAAGGCAGGACTTGGAGCCTGGGTGGAGAAGCCCATAGAACAGGATCAGTTTTCTCTCACGGTCTAATTCACAGACTGCACATCACTTTGGAAAGGGGGTAGTTCTGGAAATTCCTAGTGTCCAACGTTGCTTTCTGGCATCTCCACAGCTGTCAAAACATCTTTTTACTGTTTGGAGTTGGGTTTTTTCCTTTGTATTTTTGAAACTCCATAGTAACTGTTTCTGTTTTGCCTCAGTATTGAAACTCAGTGATGATCTAACAGATAATTGTATATTTTGTTATGGGAAAGTAATTTCTGGTGTATTTCTAGAAATACTTTTACTGTAGAAATTTGCAGTAAGGCTGTCCTTACAGTATACAATGACTCATTTTTTCTGGGTTAAAATAATTTCTTTTTTTTAATTCAGTGTCATCAACTGCATGCAGAATTGAAAGTTTCTCTAGGTTTTACACCACACTTTTAGGAATTAGCTTAATTTTTTTAAAAAGAACATAGGTGACAAAGCTGATTCTACTCCTCTGTTAACTTGTTTTTGAACTGCAGGTATTTCTAGCATATAGACTACAAAGCCAGAATGGAGTCTGGACAGCTAGTTTTTCCCCACTTCCTTGCTCTTCAAAACCAGCTGCTGAAAATTTCATGTCTTTGATATATGTATTTATTAGTCTGTGACCCAGTTTTTAACATGCAGCTTTTTATTCTGTTTTTAAAAATACATTTACCTCCCATTTACACACATTGTGAAGTCTTCATTTTTTTTAAACATTATAAACTGGAAACAGCAAAATAATTATTTGTAAGTTAAGAAGTTTAGTCTATAATGTGCAGAAACTTGTTTAGCAGTAGGTGATTTGTATATCCCAGGAACTCATCAGAATACAATCGTAACTGTAACAGTAATATGACAACTTAAAGAAAAGAATTGCTCATTTTAAGGGCATTAAGCCCGAATTGCTGAAAACAGCCACTTGTTGGGTATTAATTGCTCTCCTCTCGAAGAAATGAGTAGCTCTTGTACGGACAAAACGTTGTTAAAACTACTTTCCTGTGAGTTATATCTGCTCTCACCCAAGTTGTTGTGTCTCTGAGATTTCATCACCTTTTGGCTTTACATGTGCTATGGTCTTCATGAAGCTGATTAGGTAAGTTGCTCTCAAACGTGCTTTCATTTGCTTTTATGATTAGATGTTTTTCCTAAAGGTGTAGACACTTCTGCTTTATGTAAAAATGTAAGATAGAAGGCAAATATTGTGAGATCAGTTTGATGAACTGGTGTGTAGAAGGCACTTTTATAAACACTTTTTAGTACATGACGTTTAGTAGCGGATGAGACAATGTCCAGTATTGCTTCTCTGCTCACATGGCGTGTGTCCAAACACATCCGTTGGCTCATGCCCATCCACATATTGCCTGTGCTTTCCAAAGAGCGTCTCGGAGATCCTCTGTGTTCTCTTTGCGAACAATGAAGGTGATGTTTTGTGACATGGGATTTCGCTGGACAAAACCAAATTGGTGCACCACCACTCCAGCTGTTGGTTCCTGGCCCTTCACTCCACCGCCCCTTGCCTGTGCCGCGCAAAACATCAGATCAGCAGGCTGGTCCGTGCTTTGAAGTCAAGTCAAGGGTTACTTTTAGACCCACATTGGGTCGGAGATCCAGTTTACAGTTGTGCCGGCACATCTGAGGAGGCAGTGGAGCGGAGCATGGCAGTTCCTTCAGCGAGCTTCACGGCCAAAGCCTGTGTATCGTGACGCTGTAACTGGAGTTACCGTACCTCAGCCCCAGCATCTCTGGGGGGTTAGCAAATACTTGGGGTGTTGGAGACTTTGATGTCAAACCACTTCTGGCCAATCATGAATGCCAAGGAGAAGTGCTGCTTCATTACTGCTCAAGTAGGAACCTGTTTTCAACTTCAAAAAATGATCAAGCCTGAAAATCACTTGTGCATTAGTTGAAGCCTCTGGGTTAGTGTCTTGGAAGCAATGCATTGAGGTGTAAACAATGCATTTTGAGCAGTATTATGGATAATAGTGAGCACTGCTGTGGGAAGATGAGCAAGTCTGTGGCCTAGTGATCCTCTTGGAAAAGACTGATGCTTCCAGAGCTTACTGCCTTTTCCAGATGCCAGACGAACAAACGTTGCAAGCTGCAATAGACAGGCTGTGTTAATTCAACTTCATTGCCGACTTAAGCCATCCCGTCCACTCCTCATTAAAACCAAGGGTGCTCCCGTGGCCTCTGCCAGCCCCACAAGGCTTTTGTGGTCATCAGCCAACTGACCTACTCTAAAACTAAAAGGAATTTAATTGTATGTGGTCAGATTTTGCAAGCGCTTGGGCATCTGCCTTTGAGATCAACCTTGTCTCGTCCACATTGCAGAAATTCTGTTTGGCTGTAGTTGAGTATGTGCGGACATTTCTGCAGGACTGAGGGAGAGCCGGTCACACCATCTGCATTTTTTTGAGATCATTTCTGCTATTAGATGAAATACACATTTTTAAGGGGCTTAGTCTATTGACAAATGAAGTCTGTTGAGAATTTCCAGCAAATTATTTTTACCCATCTTTCTAAAGTGCTCATTCAAAAGTTGGTGTCTCTCTGGATTTTTTTTGACAACTAGGAAAGTATTAGCTCAAACTATTTTTTTTATGAAGTCACAAATATGAGCAATATATTTAAGTACTCTTATAGACATAGTTTTTTACACTGTTTGAATGAACGATTAAAATGAAACTGTAAAGGAAAAGCGTTCCATGCTGAAACCTTTTGACGAAGGAATGGTGTCAGGTTATTTATGAGGAATGAGTTCTCTTGTTTATAATTCCCAGCATTTTAAAAAGTAAGAAGTTTTCCAGGGTTGTATGCAATCCATATCTGTCTTCTGGGAGTCAATAAAATACTGCTTGGCTTCCTTCACTTGCTTGTTCCTTTTTGTGCAGTTAATACATGGAAAGAAGTTGAGAGGCAGAGTTGTGATTGCTGCTGCTCCCATATTCCATACAAGTCACCATCACCGAGCAAGAATGGATAACAATGTGTATAATTTCGAGCGACAGCAAAGCATAAAACAACTCAGCTTCCAGCAGCTGCCAAATTCCAGGGCTGACCTTTCTGTTAGGAGCTGCGAATCTCCCCGGTGGGTTGGGAGGCTGAGCGGGCTTGTCTGGAAACCCTGGGCTGGGTGGCTGGGAGCTGGAGCACAGGGACTTGCAGTGCTGCTCTGGGAGCTGCTTCGGTTCCTTTAATTATTTTTTTTCTTATTTTTTGATTGAATATGACTACTTGTCTCAGGATCTTCAAAGGACTTAAAGAGTAACAACTTTAATGTTGATGAATACTTGAAATCTAATTTAAGATGTTTTTGTCCAGATGACAGCCTAGCTATAATAAAATTTGTAGGTTAGTAAAATAGATAATTTTAAATACAGATGTTTGAAATAGATGTGCAGGACTGTTTTAAGAAAATTTGGGCCTGAAGGTTAAGACTTGAGATATTGGTTATGGCTGTACTCAGGATCTGGTGATAACTAGAGGTTATTTCCTACCGCTTGTGTGTGAAGCGTGTCACGTACAGGAGCTTGTGAGCAGCTGCTCTCCCCCAGTGGCACGGATGCCCCATAGCCCTCGTGCCCGCAGCCCCCACTCACCCCCGTCTAGCCAGTGATGGTCATCGTGACTCTGCCTACTTGGGGATGGATGTATAGCAGCGGGGTTTCCGTACAGTTGGCAATTTAGATCTTCTCCTCATCTTAGAGAAATCTTTTCGTGACTCTTTACTGCATCAGAAACTCAGGAGTAGAAGGTTTTTGTGTGATGTTACTCTGCACATCCTCTAAATCTAGAGTAACTGGCAGCTGGAAGTCTAAGGATCTCGGAGCTGGTGTTGCGTTTCATCAATTCAGTTCTGTGATGTCTAAGAGTGCCATCAACCCAAGGGAAAAAAAGTCAATCTCCTCTTGCTCTCTCAGTGAAAACGTGCATGAAATAAAGCTGTTGGTTCACAGGGCCTGGTAGCACGAAGCAGAGCACGCGTCTCATGGAAGAATAGTGCTGCCTTTTGAAACCGAGCTGTCTTTCTGAAAAACAGCCAACCAGGAACTGAGAATCAATTCTAAGAATTGCTCAGTCGTGATCACCATATAATTGAGATGATTTTTTTTTAAATATCAATGATTTTCTAAATAGCTAAGATTATTATTGCCATTTCTTAAATTAAGCTTTAATGCTTGGAAGGCTCACGCCTGCAGAGAAGCTGCGCATTGAATTCTTTGCATTTTCGTCATCATAAACTGTCCACCATGAAAATTATCCCAAAGTTTACTGAAAAGGAAGAAGAACTGCAGTTCATGTGTACAGTCAGAACAAAAATGTTTAATATTATTTAAAACCTAAAACCCCACAGAAATAAAACGTATAAAATATAATTATCCTCTCTCAGAATCACCGTGGGTTTTTTTCTTAGCACAGCACACTCTTGCTTGGAGAAGAGTTGATGTCTATCTCAGGGTTGCCTAGAGCAAACAGAGGCACAGGTTTTGAAATGGCCATGAAGTGGGTTTTGGAAGGAACGCTGGCCTTGGTGCCATGGGGCTGGGAGGGAGCTGGTGCAGGAGCAGGTCCCTGCTGCAGCCCAGTGTGGTGGCCTGGGCTTGGTCCCTGTCCTGCTGGTGGCTCAGGCTGATGCGCCGCAGCTGTTGCTGAGTCAGCGTCCGACTGAAGCAGAAGAGAGCAATTGGAAATTGCTGCTTGTTTTATTTCCTAAAGCAGAAATGATGGCATGGGATGGGACTTCTGCTCCCTCTTGCTCTCCGTTGGAGACAGGGAGCATGGGCCAGACAAACTGTCCACTTGGCAGCAGGCGCTTCCCAGCACTGCCTTTCCCAGAGACACCCCAGCGTGGGCAGCCCCCAGCTGTGTGTAAAGCTGAGACTTTCAGGGTGCCTTGGGCTTCCTGCCGTTCCCTTATGGAAACAACTGCTCCAGAGTGTTCGCAACAATTTTGGGTTGACCCTCCAAGGAGGAAGGTTGCGTGGGTGTCTGTGGAGGGCAGGCGGGGTATTTACAGCCACAGGACGTGTGGTGTTTCAGCACTAGCCAGGTGATATGTGTCCATGAAACACAGCCAGGAGGATAAAACTAATCCCCCTGAGTACATCCACCTGCGTCACGTGCCTGCGCTGTCCTAGTACTTCTGATGTAACTTCTTACTTCATTGTTTCTGTTGAGCTGGTTGTGGTAGGAATGATGCAAACTGATGGGGGCTGCAAAAAATGAGTTGTGGCTGAAATCCTGAACCTCCAGAGCTGGTGGAGAGCTATCTGACCTGAGTTTTCCCTTGGATCATGTCAACGTATGGTGTTTTTCAGAACTTTTGCAGCCAAAGGTCTGTCCCGTCGCCTGTTAATAAAGAGGCTGTTAATTGTGCCAGTGGCATTTGCATGTGCAGGAATGAGTTTTGTAGGTAGCTGCATTCCATTTCCTTCAGTCGTTCCAGAAAAGAGGAATAAAAGAGCTGTGTTTGCTGCCAGTACTGAGAGCAGCTGGCCTTGGCAGGTGTAACCATTTAAAGAATTCTTGTTCTTCAGAGAGAAAGATCCCCAGTCAAGGTCACTGCAGTGATTTTTATGTTTTTAATATCTTCATCATTACCATACCAATATCATTTTTGTCGTGGTTCAGTTGAGACATTTTTAACAAATTTAAGATCAAATGTGTGTGTAAATATATATTTATAC